TGTCAATGATCGAATCCGATGGGGATTGCCTACGTATCATAACGCCGCATGAATCAGATCTTGCGTAGTTCGGGAAAGATCAGGAATAAAGTAAACAAACTAATACTTTTTTTCTTTATTTGTTTTTACCCATACACAAAACAGACTACGAAAACTTCTAACAAGAAATATATTTTTGATATTTTGTTTTTTGGAGGGGAATTTTTGAAAGGAAAACTTCTTTAAGAGTAAAGAAAATATTTTTGGATTTTAATTTTTTTTGTTATGTTTTTTAGATATATTTCTTTTCTTTTGTTTTGAGAATTTTTGAAAAGAAAGACTTTTAAAGAAGAAAGAATTTTATTTTTTGAATTTTGATTTTTATTTTATTTTTTCCGAAGAAAGACTTCTAAAGAAGAAAAAAAAATATTTTTGGATTTTGATTTGATTTTTTTTTTCGAATGAAAGACTTCTAAAAAGTTTTTTTTTTTTTTTGGTTTTAAATTTTTTTTATTTGGAATTTTCTAAGGAAAGACTTCTAAAGAAGGAATTAAATAAAAATATTTTTGGATTTTTGAAAATTAGGGGCGGAACCGATGAGGTTTGCATACGTATCTCACATCCGATGAGAATCAGACCTGCGTAGTTCGGTAAATTTTGACACAACAAGAAAATATGACTTTTGTAAACATGGGCTTATTTTCTTTCTTTTTTTAAAAAAAAAATTCGGCAAAGTTTCAGAATTTTTCAAATTCCTACCTTTCACTCTTGTTTTTTTTTTTTGATTTTTTATTTTTTTTTATTTTCTTTCCCTATTTTATAAACCGATCAACATGCCAGCCGAAACAAATATATGCACAAGTAGCACGTAAAAATGCATCAGGATGGTTTTTTATATTGGGTACACCTATCCTAGACGGACACGACCCGTGTGTTGAGTCCCCAAAGTCAAATGCACGTGATGCAAACAAACGTACCTATTAGGGATCCGGCATGAAGTTATGTCATTCTAAGTTTAAATCCTGGGTGTATTGTTCTAGACCTGGCTTACCCGAGCGGACAACTCGAGCCGAAGTGGGGCAGCGTACCGGGAATACAGAAGCTTCACCGGCTTTGCAACTTGTCTGATCCTCGTTCTAAAATTAGGGTATGACTCTAACAGAAAAGAAGCCACGCGAAACGCACGCTTCCCGAAAGATTTAGAAGACTCAGAGAGAATAAGGGTTTTCGTAACAGTTTATATACAGTTCACGGCAATATCAAAGCGGTAAAGAGCAGCAATTAGCACATTAGGCTCAAACACGTAAAAAATTAGATAATAAACAAAAATCAAGTATAAAAGTTATCTAAGCTCGAATTCTGAACCCTGAACCAGAGATTCTGGGTTCGTTTTCCCAGCATAGTCGCCAGAGCTGTCACACCTCCTTTTTCCGAGGGGGTAGGGGTAGGAGTTTTTTTCCAATAAAAGTGACATTAATCGAAATAAAATTATTTATTTAATTCAGAGTCGCCACTTGGGATAATTATTATGGTGTCCCAATTCACCGATTTATTTTAAAATCCCAAATCAAGAAAATTGATTCTATTTATGGTCCGCGAACACATAAGATCGGGTAAGAAATTTTGTTAACCCGGGAGAAGGTGTGAGGCACTCCCGAGTTCTATAGTTTTAGCACAGTCGCTTAACAATTAATACTTGGCCTAATTATCTGATTTATTACACGTTTTAGACATATTGTGCATTTTACTCTTTACCGCCTCTAATTATTTACTTAACCGCTTTTTTTTAAAAGTATTTATGGAGTTATTATTATTTTTTTGAACAAGCTATGATGTCGTACACTTGTCGTTTAGGTACGTATTGCGAATCGCACCACGTGAAACGTACCTGCGGTTTGCAACATGTTTATTTTTATTATTATTTGAAGTTCTGGTCGAGTCACGTGAAACGCACACTCGAATTGGGATTTACATATCGTGACCATGCAACGGGAACCGTACTAATAGTCGTGATAATTTATTAATCGTGCCTAAAGCAAGCTACGATGTTTATGAATTATTTGTCTTAAACTAATTTGAGATTTATAACGCCATAAGAGTGTGTCATTGTAGAAAAGCATGAAATAGATTAAATTAATTATTCAAGGAATACAAAAGGGGGCCACTGTATGAGATTAATGGGCCTAGCAGATTTCAAGTTTTGGCCTCAAAGATAAAATAACTTTCTTCATTAGCTTATAGTAACCTCACAACCCCAGTTCCTTCAATGACCCATGTGTCTAGGCCTAAAAAATTGATCTTCACCAGTGACATAATTCTATTTAAACTTGTTTAACAACTTAACTCTATACTTTAGACAATTGATAGCTTAATTTAAAACAAAGATGGAACTACAAAAGCACATTTATTAACACATGAAGGACTAAATAACCAAACAGAGACATAACCTTTCCTAAGCTTCCATTTTAATAAGGTTTTTTTTTATGAACAATCACAACTCACTTATCAATTAGCAAATTTCTTTGAATCATTCATGGATGAACCCTTTTTTAAGAGAACATGCTAATGAACTAAGATAAATATACAAATAGGAAGCTCAAAATTTGGCAGCATGCTTAACAGAAAATAATTTCATTCATTCAAGATATAAATGAACACTAAAGAACACCAAAAGAAAAAAAGAAACAACTCATATCATTAATCAAAGCAAGATAAGGAGTGGATCTCAAAAGTTGAATCTGAAACTTTACGGTTTTACAGCTTTGAATCTTAAACACATTCAGACCGCACGCAACACCTCAAATGGAGCATCGAAACTCGCCGACGACCTCAACTAAAAACCTTACTGTTTCGACTGGGTTTGGATGGTAGTTTCTGGTATTAAAAGGGCTGTTCTGTGGAGGTTTAAGGGTTATTTTTGGGCGGTGAAGCTGCTGATTTTTTCGAAAGAAAGACGAAGAAAGAATGACACGAATAGAAATTCACTTATCTTAGAAGAAGAAAATAAAATTCTCTCAATTCCCTCCTCCCTCTTTTTTTCTCCTTCTCTTTTTTTTCTCCTCACATTTCTCTTTTATTTATAGAAAAAATTTCGGAATTTTCAGTTTTTTTATATATTTTCTTTTTCTTTTTTTATTTTTAATTAAAAAGAATTTTTACTTCCCATTTTTCTTATTTTTTTAAAAAAAATAATTCCCCACTTTCCTTTACTCTTATTTTTTAATTTCTTACTTTTTTTACTTTTATTATATTTAAATTCCCACTTTTATACTTTTCTTTTTTTTTATTTTCCACTTATTTTACTTCTTTTTTTTTTAATTTCCACTTAATTTTACTCCTTTTTTTTTTTTAAATTTTCAGCTATCCTTACTTTTATTTTTTAATTTCAACTTTATTTTACTTTTCATTTTTTAAATTTCCACATTCTTTTACTTTTTTTTTTTTAATTTCCACTTAATTTTACTCCTTTTTTTTTTTTAATTTCCACTTAATTTTACTCCTTTTTTTTTTTTAATTTCCACTTAATTTTACTCCTTTTTTTTTTTTAATTTCCACTTAATTTTACTCCTTTTTTTTTTTTAATTTCCACTTAATTTTACTCCTTTTTTTTTTTTAATTTTTCACTTTCTTTTACTTTTTTTATTAAACAATTTCCACCTACTTTTACTTTTACTTTTTAATTTTATATTTCTACTTTTCCTATTTTTTAATTTCCATCCGAAATTTGTTTTAGAAAAAAAATTAATTAATTAATTTTATTTTATTTTGGTTTTTAATTTATTTTATTTAAAAATAAAGATAAAAATAAAAATAAAAATAATATATATATAACAAAGTTAAAAAATATATATTAAATTGCTGAAAATATTTACATAGTAGAAGGTGATAAAAATTTAAATATAGTAAAAAATTAGGTGTTCACAATCACCGAAATCACCTTTTTTTCCGGTGAGAAACATTGTAAGAAAAGGGGGGGTGGGGGGTGGAGAAAAGGAAAGAAGAAAAAAAAAGTAGAAAAATAAAATGAAGAAAACATACAAAACAAGATTTGGTTCCCGCCATCATCAACTTTTCCGGCGAGTAATATGTCAAAAGGAAGACAAATGTAAAAATGAAAAAGAAAGAAAGAAAAGACATTAATAGAGAAAGGATAGAAAAGAAGGTGGTATATTTGTAAAGAAAAGAAAATGGCAGAAGTAAGCTGGGGTGTAAAAATGACTTATGTAGTAATAAGGGGAAAGTAAACAAGAAAGAGAATAGAAGAAAAGAAAAAGAAGAAAGAGAAAAAAAATGACAAAAATTATTTTTTAGAGCTTCCACGCCGTTTATCAGGTGCAAATCAAAGCAAGTGCCTTAAAAGGTGGTACTTATTATGCGTTATACATATTTTTAAAATTTTCAAAAAATTTACACACTTTCATCCAAAAGTACACATTTTGAGAAGGAAAAAACCCACTCTGTACATGCTACTTTAGGATAATATATAAAACAGAAGTACAAACTTTTTCTTCCTAGTATTTTTAAAGTAATAACTTGAGCATCAAAAAGAGGAAATTTTAGGCCTCATAATGCCACGCATGAGGTATGTTTGTTAACTTCAAGCTCAAAAATAGCATTGGCTCGACAAAAACCTCCCTAACTCTACAAATTTGCTCCAACCATAGCAATTTTTTGGCGACAATTCTAAGTACTTCTCATATAGCTTTCGACAACGTTCTATATTGCCAAGTTGAAGTTTCATTTCAATATAATTCTTAAAAATCTTGTCTTTAGGAGCTTTTCCAATAGCTTGTCCAAGTATTAATCTTGCTTCCCTTTAGTCTTAATTGCCTAATTTCAAACTCTACAGCTAACAATCAGATTTTCGCGAACGAACATTTCTTATGTGGAATCAATTTAAGACATTCCCTGTAAATTTCTCTGGTCCTTTCTATGTCTAATGCCTCAATCTCTTCATATAATGCATAATTAATCCATAAGTAAATGTATCTCTTCCAATAATATTTCTCTTCAATTTTTTCTCACTTCATCTTCATATTCAAACCTCCTTTTCCAATTATAGCATCTTCAATACTTTCCCTATCACCATACCGCTTCTCAAAAGCAACAAATTTCTCGTACAAATCTTCACCTCGATCTTTATCTATATGATCAAGTGCAAATTTATAAATATACCTTGCCCTCCCAATTGTTGAGGTTTTATTTTTTAAGATAAAATAGTCTTAAAATGAGAGTGAATGGGAAATGGAGGGAAAATGAAATTTTTGAATAAAATTTTAAATTTTTCCCTCTTGACAATGAGACATTGTCCCATATTGGAAGAGGAAGAGATTTAACGTTACAATAACACTCTACCAATCTCTCGAAAATAGCACGTGCTCTTTCTACTTCATTGTACCTTAATTCGAACTTAATGTATGAAAACCAACTTTTTTCATCAGGCTGCCACGCCATCCATCATTCAAAAATTTCACGGCAGAGATTAACATTCCCTAGCATCTCTTCCATGTGAATGTATTTGTACCATAATTGATTAACTTTGGGCAATAGGGTTACTGCCCTGTCCCATATTGTATGGTCACGATAATTCAGTTCTATGGCACGTTCGTAAATTGAACGTGTTCGTTTGAAATCCTTTTGAGTTTCTTCCCATTTTGCGTATTTGACCAACGATTTTTTGTTGTTAATTTGGCCTTCGAATTCCTTGCGCTTGCGATTGCGGTAATCGGCGAGTTCAGTTGAGTCGGCGATTTTTTGCTTCGGCGGTGGTTGGATTTGTGATTTGTGAGTATCCCTTGCCTCGCGGAGGATTTGCTCGGCGGTGATTTGAATTGGTGCCGGAAATCTTACCTTTACTTTTATAGGTCTCGGGAATTTGACTCGGGTCGGGTCTGATTTGACTCTCATTGGAGAAATTACAATGGATATGGAAGCTCAAAAGCAGAGAAGAGAAATATAAAGCACAAGGGACAGGGAGTGGGATGGGTTTTATAGAGGTGAATTCACAATCCGAATGGAACTCGGATTTTTTATTCTTTTTTGGTTATTATAGTTTGAGTAGGATTTGGGATTAATTTCACATATATTCACTAAACTTAACCTATTATGACACTAAAGTTATCAATTTACTTTTTTAATACCAAAATGAGTAAACTGTACCCTATAAATCACAAAATTATTTTTTACATAAAAGAAACAATATTTTAACTACTACTATTAAAAAGGGTGCGATAGCACCCCACACCTGCTAATGTAAGATTCTAAAAATAAAAGACAGAGTTACAAAAAAATACACGTGACTTCACATCATAATAAAAGATGATCCATATTTTTAAGTTTTACCCGGCTTAGCCCATATTGTATATATTTTGAAAGTACTAGCAAAAGTATCAGATGATAACCCCTATTTCAAAATCTGTTTTCTTACATCGACTGTTTCTAAAAGCTATGGAGTTAAATGTAGGTGGTCAAGGTACCCATTTCGTTTGATGTTACGACAAGAAAAATTTACTGTAAAAACTAAGAATATTTTTGTTCTAGAGCCTCATGATTTTTTAGACCCTTCACGATTTAGTTTTTTAATTTCTCTTTTTTAATCTTTGAGTTAAATTTTAGATATGGGTTATTAGAGTTTGTTAGTTGTTTGGATTGGATGTCGCTCCAATTCATTGAAAATATCAAGAGGAGTTTAAAACTTAAATGTGAAGTGATTTGCAGTAGATTTAAGCTAGATTTGAATTAAATTTCAGAAGAGGCTCAAGGAAGAAGACGAAGTCGTTTTTGTATAATGGTGTATAATATTGTATGATAGTGTATAAACACCTCTTATACACTCTTATATACTTTTATACACCTTTATACAAACATGTGTAGAGGAACTTCTTTCATGATTTTCAGTTGCAATTCTTGTTCAAAACCAGTCCAAATCTCCATTAAATGACTTCAAATTTTATATACAACCTCCTTATACTATTTCTAACAAGTCTAACTAACACCAAACTCCAAATTTCTCACAAGACCAGATTCAAAATTTAAATCCATTTATTTAAGTTTGTTCAACAATGATGGACCAGTCTAAATCTTCATTAAATAACTTCAAATTTTGTATACAACCTCCTTATTATAATAGCCCATAAATTTCAAACAAGGACATATTGGTCATTTAACAAACTAAAAAAAAGGGATACACAAAAAAGGCCGAAGCCCACCAGATTTCAATTTGGCAAAAAGGAAAAACAAAGAAAGGGATTAAGGGAAGGGGGAAGAACTAACGGCAAACAATAAAAGAAAAAACAAAAGAGGGCTATGAGTAGTAGAAAAATTCAACACAGGGAAAACTCACAGACACCAATAAGTTAAGGAAAAATCTGGTGAAAAGCTTGATAGCCACTTTTGAGAATAAAAGAAAACGTTAGATTTGCACTTTTTCTTCCATTGAAAAGCACCAGAAAAATTCAACACAGAGAAACTAATTAAACAAAGGAGGAGGAGGAGGAGGAGGAGGAGAAGGAGGTAAATTTTTGGACTTAATTCATAGATTTGATTCATAAATTCCATGGCTATGGAGTCCATGAAATTTTTCATGAATTGGTGAATATACTATAGGTTTGGGGTTATAAATTTATATATTTCTGTATATATACCAATAAAAAAAGGATATTCCTTCAAAAACTTTTCCGTTTCGTTAGCAATTAGTAATCAAATATGATTGCTATTAATATTGGTGATATTGAAAAAAATTACAATGAAATTTTGATAGCAGCAAGTTGGGATACTGAAATGGATCTTGATATTTCAAGTAGAATAAGATGAATTTGTTGGGTTATTATAATTCGACGAATTAAGAGCCAAATATGAAACTCTGAGGGTTGGGCATTCTAAATTAGCTATGAATTAGCCTAAACAAGAAAATTAACATGAGATCGATATTGATGTGATTATAGATTGATTGAAGAAAGCCATACGGATCACTCGAGGTGACGTGTTTGGTATTTCGGCACGAGTACTGTGAGTAGTAACCCTTACGCAATTTGTGTTTTCATAATCTACATGGTTTATATATGATTTTGAAAATAAATGTGTTACTGATGCTTTGAAATTGCATGTGGGACAAGTCCTTTACTCGATATGATATCGGAATGGGACACTCAAGGCATTACGTGCTCTAAGATGTTCTAGTGAGAGGGCCGTGGAGCTCACATCATACAAACAAGAGGATATGGCCAATACATGGTAAGAAACTGTATTTCTAGGAAGGCCAGCAGGAGCAACACCACTGACATGGAACGAGTTCAGTAAGTTGTTCATGGATCATTTTCTTCCAGACAGCCTGAGGCAAAAATATGCTAGAGACTTTGAGATATTGATTCAGACTCCAGATATGGATGTGTCAACATATAACACCAAGTTTTGTAGTCTGTCTAGATATGTTCCTTACTTAGTGCCTACCCAAGAAGCTCGAGTTCAGAGGTTTGTTGATGGGCTGGTTGGTCATCTATACACTGCAGTAGACCCACAGATGAAGACTTTGTCCTGCTCTGATGCAGTCGATCTCGCTAGTAAGATTGAAAACAAGGGACATGATGAGCGTGCAACCACGTAAGAAGACCAAGACACAGGATCTTTCAGTGGCAGTTTTAGTGAAAATCGTATAGTAGAAAGTCAGGGACAACATCAACAGGGTTCTCAAACAGGGACACACTTGTCTTCACGGTCCGCATACAGACCACATTACAGACAGGGTACTAGGGGACCACCATCATCATCTGGACATCACAATTCTGGGAAGATATATACCACTACTCCAGTCTGCCAGACATGTGGTAGATCGCATTTGGGCCAGTGTCGTGTTCTGACTGGAGAGCTTTCGATGTGGCCAGTTGTGACATCACTTGAAGGATTGCCCTCGGTCTTCGAGGAATTTCAACCAAGCTTCTATTCAGTCAGCTACACCTACTCAGACTACTTGTAATACTTCAGGTGCTGCAGGTACAGGAAATAGAGGTCGAGGTGTCGAAGATCGTGCTACTGTGAATCAAGGGCAAGGAATGTTGGTAGAGGTCAGGCAAGAGTTTTTGCATTTACTATACAAGATGCTCAAGTCTTGAATGTTGTAGTTATAGGTATTCTTTCTGTCTGTACATTTGAAGCACTTGCATTGATTGATCCGAGATCTACCCACTCCTATGTGTCCTCGTACTTTGCTTTGAGGTTTAGTAGATAGCATGAGCTATTGAATGATCCTTTTCTAGTTGCTACTCCTCTTGGAGAGTCTCTATTAGCTGAATACGTGTATTGTGCTTATCAGATTCGGGTTGAGGGTAGAGATACTCTAGCTGACCTTATTGTACTCGTTATTATTGACTTTGACATGTTGATGGGAATGGATTAGTTATCTTCTTGCTATGCTATCATCGATTTCCATGCAAAGATAGTTAAATTTGAGATACCAAACGAGCCTAGCTTTGCCCTAAAAAGGGGTCAGGTTCTAGAGATTTGCAAAATTGTATCTTTTATGAAGGCTCAATAGCTTCTGAAGAAAGGTTGCTTGGGTCTCTTAGCTATTATAAATGACACAAGAAAGGAAATAACTAGTATAGAAAATAAACCAGTAGTAAGAGAATTTTCTAATGTATTTCCTGAGGATTACCAGGATTACCTCCAGTACGAGAAATAGACTTTGATATTGATTTGCCACCTAACACACAGCCCATATCGATACCCCCATATCGGATGGCACCAGCAGAGTTGAAGGAGCTAAAGCAACAATTGCAGGATTTGTTAGATAAGGGTTTTATCAGATCGAGTATATCTCTATGAGGTGTACCAATATTGTTCGTAAAGAAGAAAAACGGATCTCTGAGAATGTGCATTGACTACATGCAGTTGAACAAGATAACAATATGCAATAAATATCCTTTGCCTTGTATATATGACATGTTTGATCAGTTACAAGGAGCTGCTCACTTTTTAAAGATAGACCTTCTTATCATCAGCTTAGAATAAAAAAATGAAGATATTTCTAAAACTGCTTTAAGATCTCGATACGGGCATTATGAGTTTATTGTGATGCCTTTCGTACTGACTAATGCTCCAGCTGCATTCATGGATTTAATGAATAGAGTGTTCAAGCTGTTTCTGAATAGATTTTGTAATAGTATTTATTGATGATATCCTGATATATTCTTGTAGCCGGAAAGAACATGAGAATCATTTGAGGACTGTGTTACAGACATTGCGAGAACATCAGTTTTATGCTAAGTTCTCAAAGTGCGAATTTTGGCTAGACTCAGTAGGATTTCTGGGGCATGTTGTATCCAAATATGGAATTATGGTAGACCCTAAGAAGACTGAAGTTGTGCATAAATGGCCCAGACCTACTTCTCCTACAGAGATTCACAGCGTTTTAGGCTTAGCAGGCTATTACATGTATTTTGTGCAGGATTTCACCAGAATAACAGCTCCACTGTCTAAGCTAACACAGAAAAATGCAAAGTTTCAGTGGACGGAAGAATATGAGCAGAGCTTTCAAAAACTCAAAACGTGTCTAACAACAACACCAATATTAGCTTTACCATCGGGTTCTGGAGGATTTACGGTGTTCTGTGATGCATCAAGGGTGGGATTAAGATGTGTTCTCATGCAAAATGGTCATGTTATAGCCTATGCTTCGAGACAATTGAAAAAGCACGAGCAAAACTATCCTACACATGATTTGGAGATGGCTGCAGTGGTTTTTGCTTTAAAAATTTGGAGACATTACCTATACGGTGAAACTTGTAAGATTTATACTGACCATAAGAGTTTGAAGTATATTTTTTAGCAGAGAGATCTGAATCTTCGGTATCGGTGGATGGAACTACTCAAGGACTATGATTATTCTATTTTGTATCATCCTGGAAATGCCA